CTACGCTGGCTAGGTCATGTTGTCCGGATGGACGAAAACGCTCCAGCTCTGAAAGTATTCGACGCAGTACCCGCCGGGGGAAGCAGAGGAAGAGGAAGAAAAGTCAGGTGTTAGTTCCATAAAGACTCAGCTATATTTATAATACGTTTATGGATTAAACATCTAAAAGTGGCTAAAGCCATTTAAATTCTGTCTTTTTCTAAGACTAATTGCAGGTAGGTGCTTGCTCTGGCTAGTTCATCTTAACAGTTACCTGGAATATTACTGTGTTGAAACCCATTGCAGGTTTGAAATGCAATAGGATGTTATGAAATGCTAGATCTATCTGTGATGAAACTCTGAGAGTCCTTACTGATTTGGTAAATACAAAAATATTTCTGGTTAACTAAGATACTTAGATCCTAGCTTTGAGCAGTAGATATCTGGTAGAGGTTCTGGTATTTAATTTTACACTAAAGGCATCACATTCCACTCTGCTGTATAGCTTGGACTAAGTCATAAAAATGCTTGTCCATGCGTTCTTTTCCACTTCACCCCTTTACCACTCTTATCTGGAAGGAAAGGGAATATACCACAGTTTCAGGACGATGGTTGATAAGGTATGACTTTTTAGTTATTACGCAGAGACCAAAACTGGAGGGAAAGGAATCATTGTCTGTGATTATTAAAACTGCTTTGGCTTTTGAAAATATGTGATGTAAAGAGCATTCGATATTTTCTAGAATATAAGAATGTTAGAGCGGATCTCTCTTTTCTTTTCTAAAAAAATCACATAAGCGGATCTAAATAACTTTGCTTAAAAAACTATGGGCCGAAAACCGGTTTCACGCCAGCGATTTCCAGGCGAAATTAAGAATTTAGAGATAATAAAATTTGTTTCGAAATTTTTTGTCCGTACAGAAATAGGACTGATTTTCTGCCACCGCGAGTGTACTTCGGAGCATACGCGCACCGACTGGACTCTGAGGAGGGCGTTCCTAGCTGACGAACAAGCGGCTGGTTGTCTTCGAGCACCTAGAGAGTCAGAAAAAGTAGTGTGTTTCGGTGGCACCATGCTTATTTGAGGGCCGGGAAGAATTCGCTGATGAAGACCGTGCTGGGGACCTGCACGACTTCGACGAACACCGGCAATGTGAATCGTGTGGGCAAAGTTTAGAACTCAGACTGTCAACTACGTATTCGTTAAATTTTTTAACTCAACAGATTCAAAGCAAGGGTCCGACAAGACATCGCAGCCGATTGGAAGTTGCACCACGACAACGCCTCGGCTCACATACATCAGTATATAGCAAGTAAAGCAACAAACAGATAACTGAATCTTTGAGTGCCATCTACACCTAACTTCCTACACTAACACATTATTGCCTCCTCGGTATCAACATATGTGTAAAAAAGTCGTACTCAATGGGTGCTATGCAACTTTGCCATTACTGTCACACTCACCACTCACGCTGTTTTTTGCCTTTTTGTACCTGATTCTCTGACTCAAAACTGTCACCATCAGCAACATCGCCTTCATTAGCAGCAGCATCATCGTTAATGTCAATGTAATTTTCAAACCCTTTTGATTGAAACAAACCGGATAAGAAGCAGGGGACAAAGGAGTCTAAAAATTATAGTATTAGTGAAGCGGGAAAACCCAGGAAGTTGGCTGGGAGGAGCTTTTACCGTTTCATTTGGCAGTGCAATTTCTCACCCACAGCAGCAATTACATCTCCTTGGTTTCAGTTTAATTTCGCCCCATCTCTACAAAACCAATAGCAAAAACATATTTGTAATTTAACTGTTTCGTTTTCCAACGTTTGCTTGCATGCAGAGAATAGGAGAGACAGAATTGTAAGTTTCCGTTTGACGTTTGTTGTTATGCTCATTTAAAATATAAGATAGGGTAAATTTATTTTATTGATATGTTTCACCAAAGGTTATTCACATAAACTTAAGAGTAAGGCTAAGAAGTATCTTAACGACTGTATAGCGTTATTTTTCATAACTGTTAAATGTTAGAACTATGAGAAAATGCTGTTATAAGAGCATTGGTCATATTCTTCAAAGGGTTGATTGGGTACCATAAGTATAACCTCAACTGATTCCTGGCTAAACAAAATTCCTAAACGTTCTATATAAAACTTGTAGTGTAATGTGTAAATGTTAAATGGAATTGAAAGCGTGATATATAAAACGTATGAATATCGAGTTGGATCGGTCCGAAACAACACCAATCTTCGTAGATATAACGATACTTACAATGTAAAAGGCTGTAAATCGTCATGAGATATTACAAACTTTACTAATCTATTTACTCTATTAATATGAACACAAAACCGGGAAATTGTCATCAAAAATAGTCATATTCATGCAAGAGCGATGTTAAAGGCAACTAGGATCAGTATCAATATATTTTTTCATGTCGTCCCTCCGCTATTCTAATACCAAAAGACTCGAAGCTCCTTAATAGTAGTCATGGAAGGAAGCTTATTATATTATATATATATGAAGCCCAATACTTTTTAATGCTAACCTAATGGCTCGTCAAAATCTATAATAAATTCATTCATAACTCTACGACTATGTTAATTCCTTCGAAACAGCGAGGCTTATGGTTCACAGATATCACAATATACCCTAACTTTCAAGTTCGAATAGGTAAATGATATCGATACACACCTTTACAATTAGCGGAAAGTTTCTGAAATTATGCTAAAGATATCGACTTTAATACTGAATTATTATCTAGTTCTTCTACTTTACTGGCATGACCAACGCGCAAAGGACCATAAATCGATAACTCATAACGATAACTTGTAACGTCAACTCGAGGAGGATGGAGTCATGTGTAGAAAATCACGCAAGTGAGGAAAGTTCTCTGATTACCATTCACTTGAGAGTGGCCAGAATCGATTATTTTGCGGTTATACCAAGCAACTGCCAAAGAACATCCGTATGAAGGCTAGCTAAAGTGAGAAAACGAAAAATCCCTAAAAGGGTTGTGCGCTGGGTTTGGGACCCGGCACGTAAAAAACTTCCTCAATGAAAAAGTAAAGCCTCGGAAGAGATTATTATTTCCTTAGTTATACATATATATATAAATGATCAGAATGATGAGAAAAGTTGAAATCCGGTCTGCCCGTCCGTCCGTGAAAGCAGTAATTTGAATAAAAATGGAGCTATATTAATGAAACTTGATATATAGGTTCCTTTGTACAAAAACATTACTAGGCGTAATCGGATCACTGCCACGCTCTAAAATCGCCAATAACCGAAAACATTTAAAGTGCCCTAACTATAATGTGGTACAGAGGTTCGCAGTGGCAAGAGGCACCCATGAGAAATTTTTGAAAAGTGGGCATGGCACAGCCCTCTAACAAGTTCAATGTACGTATCTCCTAAACCACTTAAGCTAGAATAACAAATTTGATAATTGCAAATCTTATAAGAACTTCCACGGATAGGGAGAAAATGGCTGAAAGCGGAGGATAACCGCGCTCACTCTCCATATAACGGTACTGTTGAAAACTACTAAAATCGCGATAAATCAATAACTAAATACGCCAGAGACATTTAATTACACCACCGAGATGGTATGAGAAAGCTTTAATAGAGCCGGTGTAATAATTGGACAGAGAACGTGGCGCCGTTCACTCGTAGGTGAAAACCCATATCTCGGCACTCGA